CATATTCCGAGTGGTCTCAACGATCGGATGACCTAACAATCATGTGATCATTGAGAATTCCACATCCGGTCCCAAGATGAACTTAGCCCCAAATAACCCATGAGGTTATTTTCCCTTTCCCGATACATTTGTTTGCGTTTTTTATGGTTGAATACTGATTTATATATAAACAACGTAATATTTATTCTGATGTATTTGGCATGACTACGAATCACTGAAAACGAGCTTGTTCACCACTCCTATTTGAATAAATTAAGGAGCAACTTATGCATTTTTCCGGGGATGAATATAACTTAAAAATTTGAATAATAATAATAATATTACGGAAAACAATGGGCATATTGTTTCTATAGTACACATGAATTTCATCACAATTTTGGAGTATTCAATCACCACCATCAAAAGTGGATGAGAACTTGGTTTACGGGTAGATTTTCCAAGTTAACCTCTCACGGAGATCGGCATTCTGCACTGTTTTACAACTTTCATCGAGTTTATTTCAACCGAAAATCGATCAGATGCTGGATTCATGAAAACATAGCACTTTGAAAATAGTCTGATTTCAATTCGTTGCTGCATACGACAGAAACACATCAGCCGAGTGGGACGGGAACAGAAGCAGTCACGTGGGTTGTCAAAATAGAGTAATATTCTTCTTTACACAAGAAATACAGATGAGATCGGCATCAGTAGTAGTTCTGTGCAAAAAAATCACATTTCCGCCAATCATCCAAAACAATAATGCTTGGCATCTGACAGGAATAAAGAAATCCTTCAGTGTGGCCAAACGGAATCGATATGGTTAAAAGTCTTTTATAGTGCGAATGAAAATTCATTACCGAGGTTCTGGTAGTCCGTACCCTTGACACGATGTCAATTCATCTTTTATCGGAATCTGTATGGTATGTACAACTTTCCACCCAGACGGAGTGCTCTCCATCAGTCGTTCCTCATTCATGACAAATTGCTCGACCAAAGTGGAATTGGTGCTTTTCACCGAGTTCGATCGCATGGGACAGTGTCGAATGAATGCGTACTTATCGGCCAAAGTGTAACACGGAACTCGGGCATAAGCGGAGCCGATTTCGAATACGTGCGAATAGCCAAATGTGACACAACTGCTTCGCATCTGATAAACGGCACGTAGATATTTCGGGATGTTAGATGGTGCCGGATACCACGCCTTTCCAAATGGACGGTAGATGAGCGGGAAAATGGCCGAATTAGGGAAACACACTCCGTGACCCGGGTGAAATAAATGAACACAGGTGTGAGTCGGCCCGACACGATAGTAACCGATATCGAGAAATGGCCAAGCCCAACCTTTGTCAGAAGTCACACGACTGAATTCTAAATCCAAATCACTTTGAGAATCATTCATTGGTTTAGTGAACAATTTATCACGTTCCCACATCGCGTACCAACGGTATTCCGGTCCCAACTGTCCGAGCATTTTCTGTATTGTGGGTCGCAGATCCGCATCGGCCAGTACATCAATATCGTCATCCCACGGTATGAAATCATGATGATGAAATGAACCGACCAGTGTACCACCGTTCAGCCAAAATCGATCACCGTAGCCGTGAGAAAACATCATGTCCGAAAATATGTCCAACAGTTTTCGAGATAGAGCGATCTGTCCTCTGGTCATGACCGGTTCAAACGGTTCAGGGAGCTGCCGGATTTTGCCGTCTAAAAACCAAGACCCAGCGGGGGATTTGGCTACGACCGGCTTAGGCCAATGAATCCTAGTCAGGTTTGGTAATGCTTTTATTGCAGTCAGGTTTTTGTATGGTTGTACAAGGAAGTAATCAAGCAAGGGAGGGGTATCATTGATGATTGATCGTGATTCCGAGCACCTCAACGACGCCGAAGGGATATAGAATGAACCCAGACTGAGGAGTTCCGGGTCCAGATCGGGACTGGTTAGTTTGTCTATCGTTCGTCCAAGAAGTAGAGCGGCAGTCACGAACAGTGTGATCCGCATTGTACGAAGCAGATCAAGCCAGGTGCCAGCAGCCATCTGAATAACGAACATAGAGTAGTGTATGAGAAATGGAATCAAAATTCAAAGATTTCCAGACGACATTTAACGTTTCTGTAATGTTGATTAGGTGGTTTTGTATCATCAAACTTAGTTGCATATATGATGACTTTAACTGTAAGAGAGTGAATATAATACAAATGTTTGTAAATGGCAGAAAATAAAGAGAAATCTTCTACGTGTACATTCGTCTATCAGTTCCCATTACTCGTCCAGTCACGTGACACAGCTGTTCATGATAAACACTGATTAATACTCTTCCAATCCGTATTGTTCGTGCACCAGCTTGACCTAGTTTTAGGTCATCGTTTAATCGATTAATGTACTCTCACGATCATGCATCAAATCGTTAACCCGAATCCGATCAGCACGCTCTCTTGTGTGTTGTGATTTCCTGTGTTGGCCTACAGGCCCCAAAAATACTGTGCATAGCGTCGCGATTGGAATTCGATGTTAATAAAAATTTAATTTTTAAATTCTTTTATTTATGATGAAGTCTTTGTATTTTTTTCAGATAAGATGTCCTTTTATTTCCTTTTTCTATTTATTGAATATACAAATGTACAATCAACTTTCAGGAAGGGGCTTGCGGCCATAAAAAGGCTGCCTGGGGAAAATACAGATATATCGGGAAGACGGGCGGTGGCGGTGGAGTGGTTTGAACCCGGGACACCCAGTAACTAATTATTGCTTGATCCATTGCTTCGTTCTTACTGGGGTTTATCAGAGCGAAATAACCATTTTCTCCTCTCCCATAGGATCAGGAGCTTAAAATTTTGACCATGAGCTACTCTATCTAAGAGGAAGAAGCCGAGCGTACGATAAAATTGATAGAGTTCGATATTTTCTTTCTTTTCTCTCGGCTAGTTCAGAGATATCTCTTTTTTGAGATTCCATTAATCGTCTTTTCACTCAAAAAGCTTTATTCCTTGTGAAACCGAAACTTAATTTCTTTGAATAAATGTAGAAGAAAAACTGGAACATTTCTTGGTGGGAGAGCTTCGATTGAAGATAAGAGTATGTCATCTGTGTCTCCCTTTGTTGCTGTCGGTCAAATATGACCTGACTACCACTGAGGACAACACCTGAACAAACATGAATTAGAAATTTGGTTCACCCATTACATGAGATGGTTAGCACAGTGGTAACGCACACGCGTTCCATGCGATGGGTTCGGAGTTCAAATCCCGGACAGGTTCGTGGATAGGCACTACTGGTGAGCTCCAATAAGGGCGGAACTCGAGTCTAGTTCTTCCGAGTGTATGGTTGAATCGATCAACTGAGGATTGTGCATGAAGGTGAAGTTCGAAGGATAGTCAGCTCAAATAAAAAGTCAATTATCCCACATCACTACTCACGAGTAACTGTGAGTCAAATGCTAAATATTCTTAGTTTTTGATTTTTTTGAATGACTCATAACTGTTTCTAATGCTCAGGATGAGTTGCTTTAGGAAATCGATATGTGCAGATATGCCTCCGTAATACAATATTCTGATTTTATTTTCTCCACTGACACAATACAGCGTTTTAATATCAAGCTTTAGGTAAAACCCAAGGATCCATAGTCACCGAGTTTTGTTTTCTGGCCTTGAATCAAAGTGAATAATGAGTCAAATCAAAACGCGTCGAACGGTCAACAATTGTTGAAGAATGATTGGAGAATGAACGAATTTTTGTGATCATGTGCCGTGAATTTAACCGATTTGTTGGTGTCAAATGTTGCAACGTGAGTAAACTGATGACAGTACAGGTGTTGATCAAACTGGTTGTTGTGATTCAGGCCTACGAGATGACGCCTACCCTGGAGCGGTGCGTCGACGTTTTCGGACACATGCGATCACTCAAATGTGAAAGGTGACGTCAATGACACGCCTACGGCTTCTAAGTACACGCCATAGGTGGTTCGTGCCAGCCAATCCGATACGGTGCAGACAGAGGTAGAATCATGCAAGCAGTACTGCAATATAATTGGAGGAAGCCTAGTCGATTTGGCATGAAATTTACCAAGTTAACTGTTCAGCAGCATTTTCCACTTTCCCGTAGTAGAAACTGTTGCTTTAACTTTCGAACTACTGCAATTTGTATTGCGACACCCAAGATGGCGTCAATTCAAACGGCGAGGCAAGAGCACTAAGAACACTACAGTGGAGAGAAAAGTTCGAAATAAACATTGTTTGCCGATGCTACTGATACATACCCACGATATTTGAAACGGAAATGTATTGCTAAAAGGTGACGCATGTTCCACGATTTTGATCAATACCTGTAATGTTGAGTGCTTGTGCTGATTCGCTTGAGACTGCTAATGTACTCACTTCTATAAATCGAGTGGATGGAGTTTAAGAACTAGGCTTCTTCTTATTTTGTTAACTACTCATTTCTGTCAGGGCTTTAGAAGCAAAACAATGTACCGTTTATTTTATATAAGGGCATCCATTTGACTTGAGATGTTCAGTTCGTTTGCAATGAGACGGTGCGATTAAACTGCTACTGGTTTAACCTAAACTGTCATGTTCTGCATCCATATGGACAGTGGTAGCTGTGATTGTTAATTTACAGTTTGGCGCTGGCGATCTAGCAATTTACTTTACAATTACAACAGTCTGGATGCCCAGTATTCGAATTCGACAATCGACTCTCGTGTGTGCTGCCGCTTGCTCTAAATTTATTATTCCTCACTGTACCTAATAAATGAAATGATAATTAAAAAATGCCAAAATTATATTTTTCGTTGCCTGTATGATGATTGACTGGTTTAGGTCTCCATATTTGCTACCATTATCTTTCAACCCAAAACGTTAACGATTATACTTGTTTGCACTGAACCAGGCTTGTATTGAAATTAGCAGACTTAGTTACCACTAGAATTGTGGTAAGTCTGTCAAAAAATGAATGGAGGGCTGATTGATCCAACCACGATATGGTCGCTAACGTAAACGAAACTCATTTGAAAAACGTATTGTGAGACCGGCTAAATTTTTTAACAGCAAACTGAGTAGGTTGTGAGAGTTATAATGAAATGGAACAAATCGACGCAGTATTTGAACGACTCTTCTCTTTTCCCACTCCGTAAGCTCAACAAAAGAAGGATGCAAGTGCGGTGCGAACTTGATTTGAATCAGGTGGCCACGTGCATACAACACACACAGAATGCGCCATCGGTAGACTGATTGACCCAGTTGATGGACATACACTCGTGAGTGAATGCATACAACCACACACACTGTAACAGCGCGAGTGACCTTCAACCTTGTCATTGTCTTGTTCGCTAATGGCATGAGCTTGCGCACTCATTCGGTAGATTCACGTGTTTGCTTTCGAATGTAGCATTGCGCGTATTGAAATGATTGCTTGCGTACCAAAATACAGGGAAATTATGCACCTACCGTGTATTTTTATTTTTATTATATGATTTTACATTTTTATTTTATTTTATTTTTACACACAAAAAACTTAATGATCTTCACGAGAATGAGCCTTGTTCCCGGGATTCCTCACCCGATTGCAAAACCGCACTAACTGAAACAAATTGAAACATTACAACTCATTTATTAAAAGGTCCATTGAGTTTTTCGAGCAGGTATTCTATAGTAAAAGTTTCGAATGCGTTTTGCTCCAACTCATCCTCAAGATAAATTATTTATTCGAGTTTCAATAATTTTACTCAGTATTTTTTTCAGCATTGCAAAAAACCAGATACCCGGTTCTGTGTACTTTATTATTTCATAAATCTCACTCTCTGCGAGCTCATCGAGTCCCCACATTGAAGCGACTGAACCCTTTTGCTATTCAGTTATGTTTACCCGGCTTGATGCATGATGCACAACACTTGTACCCGTATTGACCGAAAACACTGTTTGAGAATTTGAGTTATGCAATCAACAGAGATTGTTGAAGAGGAGTAAAACAGTTGGATCTATTTGTTGCAGTAGTTTCACTGAGCACATTTCAAACAAAACCACAGAGTGGCCAGCAAGCTCGTTTTCAGATATCTTCGTATTCATGCCAATACATCTCAAAATATATTTGTCACTACTTGTGAATAAAACTGTCTTGGGAAAATAAAACCTCATCACATTCCATCCCAGATTACTAGAAACGCTTTTATGTGATTTTACCTCTTTAATGTATATTTACCTTCCTATTCCGATTGATTATTTAAAAGATCTTATCATTGTTTGCACTGAGAACATACGTTTTGAATTTAAAAGAACAGCGCACAAACAAATTGACAGTGTAGAAATGGGCTGAAAGCCCCCCCCCCAACATTAGCTGATGTATTTCTAGGAATGGTTAAAAGACGATTGAATGACAATATTTCAATGACTGTTTTATCATATTTTGATATTTACCGACACTGATCATTTTAATATGATTTCAACACCATTTAATACTATTCATCCCAATCTCTCTGTTTACCTTGAGGAGGGAAAGGATGGCTGTTTGAATTTCGTAGATGTAGAAATTACGAAGCGATCAGATGGTACCTTTCAAAGATCCGTCTACCGGGAGACTACATGGAGTGGAAAATACTTATAATTTGCCACTTTTGCTCCTGTGGTTCACGAAAGAAGTCTAGTGAAAACTCTGTTCCATCTTGCCCGGAATATTTGCTCCCCTGACACTGCCTAAGAAGAAGTGACCTTCTTGCGAAGGTTGCTACTGGATAACGGTTATCCAGAGAAATTTATTGATGTGCACAGCGGGCGAAAGACACTGGTTGATCCCGTCTGCGAAGTACCGAAGAAGAGTGTCTTCCTGAGACTCGCCTTTAAAGGTGTTCATATAATGAAAAACGTGCGTCAAAAGCTCAAGGCGGCATTGTATCGAACGCTTCCTCCTGCACAGCTTCGACTGATAGCGTATACCTGAAGACTACATTCAGACAATCGAAAACAAAACCAACCGAACAGTTCTGCTTCACATATCATCTACCAGTTCACCTGCAGTTGCGGTGACACATTGACAGAACGAATCGG